TAAACACTTTCTCACCCTGCACCAGGGTATAGGCCACGGACAAACACTTTCTCACCCTGCATCAGGGTATAGGCCACGGACAAACACTTTCTCACCCTGCACCAGGGTATAGGCCACGGACAAACGTCCTCCACTTTTCTCTATCCTGGGCTAGCCTCTTGATGTTATTCCATGTTTTCCCACTTTTCTCACTTTTGGTATCATCTTAAAGCTTGTTCATTTGTCTTGCTTTTGGTGAAAAAAACACCGGTCTATCTGGAACAGAAGTCCAGATATTTACGATTGAAGGAGGTGTGGGTTGCCTGGTGACAAATGTAGAATTAACGAGAAAATGGCTGCCAAAGTTTGGTTACTTCCAAAGGTTGAGAGTCCTTGGAAACTGTAAATTAACATTTAAACCAACATTTTTGTGTCTTTAACCAACATTTGTGTGTCTTTAACCAACATTTTTGATTCTTTAACCAACATTTTTCAGTAAAATCCACACACAGATGTGTTTTTAATGGATATGAAAGGTGCTGAGCCTCAAAAAAATTTGAAAAAAATTATCCAAATTACAGAAGAATGCTGGTTTCTTTGATTTCAATATTTTGACAAGCGCCTGATTTCACCACAATGTTTCACATATGATCTCTAGTGACTCTGTAAAAGACAACTAAGACCACTTTAAATCCAGTTCAATTTTAAAAGAAAATAAATTGTACATCTGATTAAACTTCTTCTTTATTTATCAAGAATTTAAGCTAACTACATCGACTTCTGAAACTTGATTTTTTCGTTCTGTACCCTTCCAATCTTCTTCTTCTTTGCATGTCACTGCTAGATCTCAGGGGTAATCCACTGACTGTTGGTTGTTAAACTTGCTAGATCTCAGGGGTAGTCCACTGTTGGTTGTTAAACTTGCTAGATCTCAGGGGTAGTCCACTGTTGGTTGTTAAACTTGCTAGATCTCAGGGGTAGTCAACTGTTGGTTGTTAAACTTGCTAGATCTCAGGGGTAGTCCACTGTTGGTTATTAAACTTGCTAGATCTCAGGGGTAGTCCACTGTTGGTTGTTAAACTTGCTAGATCTCAGGGGTAATTGACTGTTGGTTCTTCAACCTGCTAGATCTCAGGGGTATTCGACTGCTGGTTGTTCAACATGCAGTGCAACTGATTTTTATGTATGTGACCGTTTTCCCTACTTCGTAGGAGCCCTTTCCATCAGGCAGCTGCATTCTGATACAGAACTTATACTCTGTATGTATTTTTTAAAACTAACTAGAGTAGTTTCAGTTTTGGTAGGAATTAACTTCGCATTTTGCCCAAGTGGTGGCTGAAGTCTACCGTTATTGATTTTAGAACCACTAAAGGATTTTTCACATGTGTAACAGGCACAAAGGACCTCCAAGATGTTTCGCCCTCACCCGAGAAGGCTAGATGTTCCAATCTTACCAACCCTAAGATCATGAGGGTGTGGCGGAAAGACAGCAGTAAGAAGGAGCCAGGAGTAGCAGAAGAAAGAGTCAGGAGTAAAGGAGAGAGAAGCAGAGAGGGGGCCCTGGGGGGGGGGGGGGGGGAGGGGAGGTGGAAAATTTCAAAATCAGGTTAGTAATTAGAATTTTACCTTCCACAGATCATAAAATCCGACTTATGCATAGACATAGAAAAATAGGCCTAATTATTTGAAATTAACGCAACATCAATCCGGAGCACTGCAGGGAATCAAACTTACAACACCTAGCGAGATAATCTGACTGTTAGGACACACACCTAGCTTAGGACACACACCTAGCTTAGGACACACACCTAGCTTAGGACACACACCTAGCGAGATAATCTGACTGTTAGGACACACACCTAGCTTAGGACACACCTAGCTTAGGACACACACCTAGCTTAGGACACACACCTAGCTTAGGACACACACCTAGCTTAGGACACACACCTAGCTAGATAATCTGACTGTTAGGACACACACCTAGCTTAGGACACACACCTAGCTTAGGACACACACCTAGCTAGATTAATCTAACTGTTAGGACACACACCTAGCTTAGAACACACATCTAGCTAGATTAATCAAACTGCCAAGCCACTGCATTTTATCACAGTTTTTTTTAACCCATAAGTCCAATCATTCAAGACTGTGTGAAAGTCCAGATATCTATTAAAGCTCAATGTCTATACAAGTACTCCCTCTGGTGATACCCACTTTTAATAAAATTCCCCTAAGAACAAAAAGAGCCAAAATGACTCTGAACCTAAAATCAAAAGATTAAACAGAAAGCGACCTGACAAAATGGAAATCTGAACCTGACATCAAAACGTAAACCAGAAGCCCACCTGAGAACATGGAAATCAGCCACTGAGGGGTTTGTCTCAATGGCCGTGGATATTTTCTGTAAAGCCTCACGGTTTTTGCCGGCAATATTCAGCTGCATCGCCTGGAGTTTGTTGTTGTTTGCCCTGGACACAACAGCAGCCATCATGACCTTGCCCTCAGAGTGGTCAGGGTCAAGGATGAGGGCGTCTTTCACGTCGTAATAACAAAGTGTTGCCTGGGCGGAGAGGAAAACGGGAAAGGTGGCATTAGAAAATGACAGATAACATTTGCTAACTTAATGGCATGAGGAAGTGGCAGATAACATTTGCTAACTTAATGGCATGAGGAAGTGGCAGATAACATTTGCTAACTTAATGGCATGAGGAAGTGGCAGATAACATTTGCTATCTTAATGGCATGAGGAAGTGACAGATAACATTTGCTATCTTAATGGCATGAGGAAGTGGCAGATAACATTTGCTATCTTAATGGCATGAGGAAGTGACAGATAACATTTGCTATCTTAATGGCATGAGGAAGTGACAGATAACATTTGCTGTCTTAATGGCATGAGAAAGTGGGGAGTGGGTTGTGGTCGATTGTACAGGTGATTGTCTTGGACAGGTGATTGTCTTGGACAGGTGATTGTCTTGGACAGGTGATTGTCTTCGACAGGTGATTGTCTTGTACAGGTGATTATCTTGTACAGGTGATTGTCTAGGACAGGTGATTGTCTTGGACAGGTGATTGTCTTGTACAGGGGATTGTCTAGGACAGGGGATTGTCTTGTACAGGTGATTGTCTTGTACAGGGGATTGTCTTGTACAGGGGATTGTCTAGGACAGGTGATTGTCTTGTACAGGTGATTGTCTAGGACAGGTGATTGTCTTGTACAGGTGATTGTCTTGTACAGGTGATTGTCTTGGACAGGAGCCATGAAGAACGGGATTGTCTGAACTTCTCAAACATTACTCTTCCCCCAGAAAAAAGAGATAGAGGGAAAAAATTATCATAGACCATCCCTTTGGGGCTTTTTTTCTGCTCTGTGTGTTCGAAAGGGTAAGAAGAGAGTAATAATAATGAAAATGATATAATATGATATTTGTACAGCGCATATTCCAACTCTACAGAAAGCTCTATGAGCTTTACAATCTATTTCAGATAAGATAAGATAAGATAAGATAAGATAAGATAAGATAAGATAAGATAAGATAAGATAAGATAAGATAAGATAAGAT